TGGCTATTTGGGGCAATTCAAAAGTCCCAAGAAAGTTAGCAAGATCTCCCATAGTGCGAAAGATTGCAGATTTACAATCAGATGAGGCAGATAATTGAAATGGGAAGCCCCAATGGTATTTAATCCGTTTAGCCTGTAGAGCTTCAGTGAGCGGCTTCAGGGCTCTGCGCATCTCCAACGTTTGTTTGGAAAGGTCCGACAAAGCATTACCAGTGTTTCATTAAAATAAATGGAATCCTGGGAGCGGGCAGCTTGCTTGATATCTGCTTTAACTTTGTAGAAATAAATCGTGCGAATAACATCTCTTTTGGAATGCTGGATTAAGATTGCGAGGACCAAGGGCCCTGTGTATGCGATCAAGTTCCATAGGGGAATCTTTTGGCTGTTATAGAAGCTGGTTAAAGATGGCTATAGTCTCTGAAGCCAGATCTTTGGTTTCCACCGTTTCAGGAAGACCGCATATATTATTGCTGCGGTTTCTGTTTTTCTTGGTCATCTAGGCTATAGAAAAATTGTTGTATCTGAGTGTTGTGTTCAAGAAGTATCGCATCATGTGTATTCAGCTTTGTCAATGACTCCTTTACCGTGTACTGCACATCCTGCAATCTGTTGCCCAGATTCTTATGGTGATCCGTGATCTTCTGCTTTATAAGAGGATTTCAGCCTAGTCACATAGGCCTCAAAATTCTGGCAGTTGGGCAGTGCCCTGATGTAGGCCTCCAGGTCCCATCCCTCTTTAGATCCCTGGGATGTTGGTGAGGGGCTTCTGGACTGGACCAAACCATGTTCAGAGTCCTGAGGTGAATGTGTAATGGTGTCTGGAAGAACGGTCTGGCTCCATCTTGGAGACTGGAGAGCCCTGGTTATGTAAGCCAGATTTGGTGAAAAAGCGGACGATTTTCACCTTCTTGAGGGGGCCCGCTAGGTCGGCAACCCACACTGCAGCTTCGTTTGCCCATGTGTGTTTGAGGGGAGAGTTGCGGTGTGCACCGCGATAGAGCCGGTTGGAGTGGGAGCCACGAGTCTGTGTCCTGTTCCTCAATGTACCAGGCCATGCCCTTCTAGCATCTTGGATTGAGTAAAGCCTGCAAGACATCTTGTCCTGGGTTCTTGATCACTTGACACATTATTCCACTTATTTTTCCTCCTAACCTTATTTCTGCAAAGATGTAAGGCGAATGTTGCTACACTGCTACACCTGCTACACAGTTGTCACTTTTAAGCACAGGTATGACCATTGTCATAAGAACTCTTTGGTTCTCCTCTGTGGTATATACGACGGGTAAAATAAGTATTGAACACGTCACCATTTTTCTTGGTAAATATATTTCTAAAGGTGCTATTGACATGAACTTTTCACCACATATTGGTAACAACCCATGCAATATATACATACAAAGAAACCAAAACAAATAAATTGATAAGTTATGTGTGATAAAATAGAATGACACAGGGAAAAAAGTATTATACACACTAACTGAAATTTATTTCATACTTCATACAAAATCCTTTGGGAATGACAGCTTGAAGACGTCACCTGTATGGAGAAACTAGTCACATGCATTTGTTTTGGTTTCTTTGTATGTATGGATTGTACAGGTTGTTACCGACATGGTGAAAATGTCATGTCAATAGCACCCTTAGAAATACAAATGCTCAAAAAAATTAAAGGAACACTTGTTAACAGAGTTTAGCATCAAATCAGTTAATCTCCTAGGATATTGATCTGGTCAGTTAAGTAGCAGAGGGGGTTGTTAATCAGTTTCAGCTACTTTGGTGTTAATGAATTTAACAACATGTGCACTTTTCCCTACTTATCTTTTCTGACTGTTTTCACTAGTTTTGCATTTGGCTAGGGTCAGTGTCACTACCAGTAGCATGAGCTGGACCCTACAGAGGTTGCACAGGGAGTCCAACTCCTCCAGGATGGCACATCAATATGAGCCATTGCCAGAAGGTTTGCTGTGTCTCCCAGCACAGTCTCAAGAGCATGGAGGAGATTCCAGGAGACAGGCAGTTACTTCTGGGAGAGCTGGACAGGACCATAGAAGGTCCTTAATCCATCATCAGGACCGGTATCTGCTCCTTTGAGCAAGGAGGAACAGGATAGGCACTGCCAGAGCCATACAAAATGACCTCCAGCAGGCCACTGGTGTGAATGTCTCTGACCAATCAGAAACGGACTTCATGAGGGTGGCCCGAGGGCCCGACGTCCTCTAGTGGGCCCTATGCTCACTTCCATGGCACTATAGAGCTCGATTGGCATTTGCCATTGAACACCAGAATTGGCAGGTCCGCCACTGGTGCGCTGTGCTTTTCATAGACGACAGCAGGTACACCCTGAGCACATTTGACAGATGTGAATGGGTCTGGAGAAGCAGTGGAGAAAGTTATGATGCCTGTAACATTGTTCAGTATGTCCGTTTTGGTGGTGGGTCAGTGATGGTGTGGGGAGGCATATCCACGAGGGGGGGGCACAGACCTCTACAGGCTGGACAATGGCACCCTGTCTGCCATTAAGTATTGGGATGAAATCCTTGGACTCATTGTAAGACCCTATGCTGGTGCAGATGGTCCTGGGTTTCTCCTAGTGCATGACAATGCCCGGCCTCATGTAGCGAAACCATGCAGGCAGTTCCTGGAGTATGAAGGAAATGATACCATTGAATGGCCCTCACGCTCGCCAGACCTAAATCCAATAGAACACCTCTGGGATATTATGTTTCGGTCCATCCGACACTGCCAGGTTGTACCTGAGACTGTCCAGAAGCTCAATGATGCCCTGGTCCAGATGTGGGAGGAAAAACACCAGGACACCATCTGTCGTCTCATTAAGAGTTTGCCCCGACATAGTCAGGCATGCATATAAGCACATGGGGGCCATACAAACTACTGAGTACCATTTTGAGTTTCTGCAATGAAATTTTAGCAAAATGGACTAGCCTGCCGCATAATTTTTTCACTTAGATTTTTGGGGTGTCTTTGAATTCATTCATCTGTAGGTTGATAATTTTCATTTCCATCAAACGATGAGGAATCCTTACGTTCCTAACACATTGGCCAGTCCATATCAGTATAGATATCCAGCATGATATTTTTCCCTCATGGAGATCTGATGTGTTTTCAAAGTGTCCCTTTAATTTTTTTGAGCAGTGTGTATTTAACCACCTCCCGCCCACCATATAAGGAAATGACGGGACTGCGGTGGTTCTCTCGTTCTGGGAGGACATCATATGACGTCCTCCAACTGTAACCGCATGTGCATGCTGATCTGTGGTGCGCTGTGTCCCTGGGACACAGCGGGTCACCGATCAGTGGAAAGAGCCGATGACTTCCGCTCTGTCATGTGATCAGCTGTGTCCAGTCACAGCGGATTGCATGTAAATAAGGAAATGCCGGTTATCGGCATTTCTCTCCTCACAAGCTGTCACGCTGACAGCTCGTAAGGAGAGGAGAGACGGTAATTGGCATTCCTCAGACGGGACGTCTACACTGATCATCAGGGCACTGATGATCAGTGCCCTGGTGATCAGTGTAGCCCCATCAGTGCCACCTGTCAGTGTCCATCAATGCAACTTGTCATTGCCTATCAATGTCACCTGTCAGTGCACATCAATGCCACATATCAGTGGCCATCTGAACTGCCTTTCAGTGCCAATTATCAGTGTCGTCTATCAGTGCCGCCTATGAGTAATGCCAATCAGTGCCGCCTATCCGTGTCAGTCAGTGCCGCCTATCAGTGCCATCTATGAGTACTGCCTTTCAATGCCCATCAGTGATATCTGTGAATGCCCACCAGTGATGCCTGTCAATGCCCATCAGTGTCACCTACCAGTGCCTCCTCATCAGTGCCCATCAATGCAGCCTATCAGTACAGCCTATCAATGCCCATCACTGCAGCCTCATTAGCGCAGATCAGTGAAGGAGAAAAAATATTCATTTACAAAATTTTGTAACAGAAACTAAGAAAAAAACTTTTTTTTTTTTCAAAATTTTCAGCTTTTGGTTTGTTTATCAAAACATGAAAAGCCCAGTGGTGATTAAATACCATCAAAAGAAAGCTCTATCTGTCTCAAAAAAAAATGATAAAAATTTCATATGGGTACAGTGTTGCATGACCGTGCAATTGTCATTCAAAGTGCAACAGTGCTGAAAGCTGAAAATTTGCCTGGGCAGGAATGAGGTGAAAGTGCCCAGTCGGCAAGTGATCAATTAGAAAAAATGGTGATGTGTTCAATACTTATTTTACTCACTGTATATAGCTTCATACATGTCAGGACTCTTATTCTTAGACCCGTTGATTTAAAGATGACAGCAGCAGAGGGAAGGGGAGCAGTTTGGTACAACATTGTTTGCGGAATACAGTGCTCACAGGAAGTAACTTTGTGGGTTAGTGCCTTTTTGGAATAATACAATTTATACATTAGGTGTTTTAACATATTATGGTTGATCCATTTGAAGGTTTAGCTGTACCTTTGTATAAAAAACAATTGCAATGCCTTCTTGCATCACCCTCATAAGAAAAAAAAATTCAACCACTGCCACAGGGTTCAGATGCAGTCCCCCCCCCCCCCCCCCCCCCCCCCCCCTACCAGGCTGAGAGAGCATTTTTGCTGTAGTGGGCTGATACAACTGTGGGATATAGACATGAATTGGAAAGCAATCCTGAATATTTGAATGTAAGACAAAATCCACTGATCTATGAAGAAGAAAGTGGTCTGTTGCTCAAAAAATTCCAACATGGTTCATAAATGGCCTAAATGTCTGCTGAACTTGTCTGCTTATAGACCCGTTATCTGGTCCCGCTAGCATAAGTCCTCTTATATCTTTGGATAGAAGAAAGAAGAGCATTAAGGAACAGTATATATATTTGTCATAAGTGTTTGAAAACTGACTTGATAAGCCTAAATAGCTTTGATAATGACCTGGGTTACTAAGAAAATATATCATCTAGAAGGATTGACATCTTTTTTTTTTTTTTTTTTTTTTTTTTTTTACAGGTAGCAGTTGGATTATCTGTGGCAGCAAATGTTAGAATAGGGAATGCATTAGGAGCTGGGAATGTGGAGCAAGCAAAAACCGCATGTAAAGTTAGCCTCATATGCATAGGTAAGATAGATGTTTACTGTTACAATAATGCACTTTATTGTTACCCCAACAAAAACTTTTATTTGTTTATAACTCTAAAGTTTATTTAAAGGACACCTGCCAGAAAAGAAATGTGTAGGCTACCATTGATGATGCCTGCTGAGAATCCTGGATGCCTGTTTGTTATGCTGATCAGCTGACTTATTTAGTTATTGATCTGGAATCAATCTGCAGATTAGGAGTTCTGACATCATTCCATGCATGCTTTTTTTCAGAAAGAGAAAGCTACTTGAGCCAACAAGTGATCTTGTGAAGAACCATTCATTCTATTCAGCAATCATTGCATCTTTGTTACACCCAACAGGTCCTCACCGCCACTCATTTCACTGAGATATAACATATTCCACTTATTCTTCTGTTCGCTGATGCTGAGAAAGCATTTGACAGAAGTCAGTTTGGAAATTATTTATCCACTTTGGCACATATTGGTATGGGAAAATTGTATGCAAAAACTGGATCGCTGCCCTCTACTTAACACTGGCAACAAAGTTAACGAGACTATCTCTAACTCCCTTACTATTTTTAAGGGGATAAGGCAAGGCTGCCTTCTATCACCTTTCATCTTTATACTTGCCCTTGAACTCCCTCTACACAATATCAGGGCACATCTGGACTTCAGGGAATTACCCTGACAGCTTCCTTTTCTTTCTCATCTTCCAAGTAGTCTCTATTCTTCCAAATCAGAAATTAGGAATATAGCCACCTCTGATAGCTTACAGGACCAAATCTGAGGAAACTTTGCATTCAGTTGGTTCTCTTCCATCCTTAAACAAGTTTTTTTAACTTGAATTGAGAACCTTAGCCAAGACTATAAAAGAAGACTTGCAGTGCTGGGACAAAGAAGCATTGATATGGCTTGGACAAAACCGTGTCATGAAAATGAACATCTTACTGCACCTACTATACCTATTTCAAACATTACCCATTAATTCTACAAGTTTTCCACCAGATCTGTGAGCATGGTTTTTGGGATACGTTTTAGCAGAGAGAAAGACCAGACTCAACAGATTCCTCCTCATGCTTCTTAAAGCAAAGGGGGAAACTGAGTTCCCAGACTCAATAAAAAACCATGAGACCTGAAACCGTGCATCTATTGGGAACAGGCCCTCGCACACAGCTCCTCGTGCAGGCCTGCCCTGACTAGACAGTCCTTTACCGAATCTGCATTGGTCCCTGTCATTGGTCCCACATTAAGGGTAACTACTGTAGATCTCTTTTCCAGAAGACCTCCATTTTGTAAATCCCAACTTTGAGATTGCACCCATTCAATCAGTCAGTCTAGTCCCCAATATCAAAAACCTAACTTTTAGGCTAACTTGCTTCTCTTGACATCACAGACTGATGGATGGGGCTGAATTGTCACCTTTTGCACCAAATTAGATTTCCCAAGATGCTCCCAAACGAATGCTTACCTTCAGTCCTTAATCACTGCACGTACGTTAATTAGAAAAAACTAATTTTTTTGAGTGAGTATGTCTCTTTAATGCCACTGGCTGGCTTTCTTTTATGCTACTCTGCTTTGAGATGGCGACCAGAGAGATCCACACTCTTGCTTAGTCCGAACAAGAAGTCACAGAGCATGTTATCACAGGCCCTTAAATCTTTGATTGCCAGTTAATATCAGCAAAGCAGTACAGATGCCTCAGATACAGTATGACCGACTGTGAGATAATTGACTCTACTGTTCACATATCCTATATAACACTGTTCAACAAATTTTTATTTTTTGCCAGTTTTGGAAACAAAAGGATCCATTTCTTAATGAATTTCAGATTCTGAGTTCAAATATAACAATGAAATTTGTCAATTGGCTCTAGTTTTTTCTGTAAACGGAAAGTTTTCTACTATAGGCGTAATGACTACATAATGCACAATATTTATATAGATAGATGTCTTTCCACAAATATAAAGCAAGTGATATTGACTACATAACAAAGCCTAAATGGCATAATATATTGCATAGGATTACCAAGAAAAATTATAGCCATAAGCTAAGTTGAATCATTTTTAATACTTAGGATTCTCACTAGTTTTGTCTTCAGTTTGTGTCGGTTTTGCTTTCTCTTGGCTTTTCTCTTGTATTTCGAGGAAAGGGCTATCTCTTACAACTGCAACGTGACTACACGCTTCAGGTTCTTCCTCACTTGACTCAACACGAAGGATTCTGGTGCTTTAGGAATTGGATAGCCCCTCTCCATGAGGAAACTGGACGTATTGCCGATGGAATATTTGGATAGTGCACAGATAACTTTTTCTTCTTATTTAGCCCTTTTACAATTGGAGGCACCATACAAAAGTAACAATTACTAACATGATCTGTTGGCTCTCTCCAAATCATTGGCACAGCGAAAGGCATAGATGCCTTTTTTTCCATTCAACCATTGCTCCAGTGCCGTCCCACAAGAATTGCAGCATATATGTGGTGCCAGCTCTTGTCCTGGTCTCCTATCTTGCAGCCAAAATACAAGTTGTAGGCTTTCTTAATCATTCCTGTTATCCTCCTTTTTTGTGAGATAAAAGTTATTTTCACCGCAGATATAGCAGAAATTATCTGCTTTATTCACACAAGTTCAAGGCATTACTGAGTAGCCTATATAAGCATAAAACGAAATGTAAAGACGCTGTCGAACTACAATCAGCTACAGATACTGCAGCTTTTATGCAGTGAAGTGATGCAATTAAAGGCTAATATTGCATCATCTCAGTATACATGCAATTTTCTATTGGTCACAGTATCAATTGCGCAATATGCAGCTGAAGTTGCTCATAATTTTGAATGGCTTTCGTCATTAGATGGTGAATATATCATGGAAACTAGAGCCAATCAACATTTTTTAGGGTCATTTCGTTTTCAGCACCCCAAAATTATGTAAGATTAGCTAATTTTATGCCCAAAACTTTTTACCTGTTGAACAGTGTAATCAGGTAGGTTTTTAACATCTTAATACTTTCAGCTTTGGTAATTGTACCTCTCATACTTCCAATGTGAAAAGTATTTTTATTTAAAATTTATATGTAAGATAACCATGTATTTCTCATGTTGATGCTCTTTTAAATAAAACATTTACTAAAAAAGGAAACCTGTAGAGAATTTTCTGACATACCTTCCAAAAGACCAGAGAGGTTTCAAAGAGGACTTGAAAAAAAAGATGGACATTTACTGTACATTGGTGGGTTGTAGGAATGAAGAAAGAGTGGATCATTAGATACACATGTCTGCCTCTGCATCACCCTGTACTCTTTTCTTTGAAGCATCCGATTATCCTGGTTATGCAACAGATTAGCGGAAAGGAATGTAGACTTAAACGTTGCAGTTAAATCTGCTGAATGTACTAAAAAAAAAATCACAGATCTCCATATCATGATCTACACATTGGGGTTGATTTACTAAAGGCAAATAGACTGCAAAGTAAAATTGTACCACATTCACTAAGCTCTGGGGAAATTCCCTTGCAATGTGCAATTTCACTTGCAAAGCAAACAGTCTTTTTAACTTTAGTAAAAACTTTTTTCAGCTAAAAAAACAAAAACTTTTAGATGCAGTTAGGCAATGGACACAGACATTGTGTACTGTAAACAATCTCCACTTTTATAGTTTATACTAAGTTACCATAATTATCATTGTGCTAATCTTTATGTAACAGTATACTGAATATGCAAGGTAGGTGTCTGCTTACTTTTAAAGATTATATTACATTAGATGTTAAGAAGCTGAAAAAGCATGTTGTGCTCAGTCTGTCATTGAGTATCTCTATATATAAAATCAAAAGAACATAAAAACATTTTTGGATGCATACTCATTACAGTAAATAAAGCAGATGCCGTAGTGATTACTGTGAGAGGCCAATTCAGAATGCACAGCCTACAGGCAATCTGATCCTAGAGCAGCCCATGGTGGCTCACTTTTAACTGTAGCATATCCTTTATTTTTTGCAGTTTAGATATTCATCCCCTATACTGTATGTTAGAGTGTATCACAACCTCAGGCATAGGTAACAGGATTTGAGACCAATGACTGACCTGCATGGAGAACTGTAAAAAGAGTGTAAAAAACGCAAAAAAAATACTAGTGAAAGGAGGACACAGCTCTAGAGTTTTAACCCTTGAAAATCCCAAAAGTGATATTACATTTTAGCCCCAACTTTTTTTTTTTTTTTCTTTCTCCTAGTGTTTTTCTCTCTGGTGTCTGGTAGTTTGTTGGCTGGACTGAAAGATGTAATTGCTTATATTTTTACCTCTGACAGGTGGGTAGAGTAAATTTTATTTTTGCTAAATTCTTGATGCTCTTTTATCTATAGAATCAAAACCCCAAAAAACCCAAAACAAAGGCATAGTAACACAGAACAGCACAGTGGCTAAATGGTTAGCACTTCTGCCTGGAAGTACTAGGGTTGTTGGTTAGAATCCCAAACCACGGCACCACCTGCCTGGAGTTTGCATGCTCTCCCTTTGCCTGCATGGGTTTCCTTCAGGTACTCCGTTTTCCTCCCACACTCCAGAGACATGCTGGTGGGTGATCCTGTCTAAATTGGCCCTAGTATGTGTATGTATGAATGTAAGTTAGGGACCTTAGATTGTATGCCCCTTGATGGTTAGGGGCTGATGTGAATGTGCAGTATTTATGTAAAGCACTGTATAAATTGACAGTGCTATATAAGTACCTGTAATAAAAAATAAATTTGAATAAACTCATGCACGGCTATGTCAAATTAAATTGTGTCTTATTTGTGCATAAAATGTATGGAGGTGCTGCAACCGGGCAGTAGTGTACTCAAAAACCTAAATTCTAATAGTGCAGTAGTGTGTTGCTCCTTTAAGAAAAAAATTACATATGATGAATTTCAAACTACAATAATATAACCAAAGTCCTAAATAACAACGCTATATAAACAATCAACAATAAAGTGCATATATATATATATATATATATATATATATATATATATATATATATATATATATATATATATATATATTAGTGCCTCAATTATCTAATTATCTAAAAACACATGTGCTGTCAGACAGAGCTGGGGACATCACATCTGGTAGGACAAAAAACTGGAAGTGGTGAGAAGCAGGCTGCTGACCATTCTAATACACTGCACTTTTTTATTATATATGTGAGTGCAATGTGGACTGTAATAAATGCTTTTAATCTTCAACATGTGTTGCGCTATGAGTCTGTCCCTATTTTATGTTTGAGTGACATTGGAAGTGGAGGCATTTGGAATTGGCCTCTTAAAGGGACCTTATGAGTGAAGTGGGTGCTAACAGTCAGTTGGTGGATTATACATTCAAAGCGCACTTGACCTATGCTTTGTAGGTTTATATTTATATATACTCACTGCTAGGAACACTTTGAAAACACATTAGATCTCAATGGGGAAAAATATGTTGGATATCTATACTGATATGGACTGGGTAATGTGTTAGGAACGTAATGATGCCCCATCATTTGATGGAAATGAAGATTATCAACCTACAGAGGACTGAATTCAAAGAATTTTTTGAAAATCAAAGTGAAAAAAATATGCAGCAGGCTAGTCCATTTTGCTGAAATCTCATTGCAGCAACTCAAAATGGTACTCAGTAGTTTGTATGGCCCCCATGTTCTTGTATGCATCCCTGTGTACGTCGGGGTATGCTCCTAATGAGATGATGGATGGTGTCATGGGGTGTTTTTTTCCCAGATCTGGACCAGGGCATCACTGAGCTCCTGGATAGTCTGAGATGCAACCTGGCATCGTCGGATGGACCAAAAACATGATATCCCAGAGATGTTCTATTGGATTTAGGTCAGGTGAGCATGGGGGCCATTCTCTTGCCACATGAGGCCGGGCATTGTCGTGCACCAGGAGGAACCCAGGACCATCTTCAGCAGCATAGGGTCTGACAATGGGTCCAAGGATTTTCTCCCGATACCTAATGGCAATCAATTTGCCATTGTCTATCCTGTAGAGGTCTGTGCGTCCCTCCATGGATATGCCTCCCCAGACCATCAATGACACACCACCAAAACGGTCATGCTGAACAATGTTACAGGCAACATAATGTTCTCCATGGCTTCTCCACACCCTTTCACATCTGTCGCATGTGCTCAGGGTGTACCTGCTGTCATCTATGAAAAGCACAGGGCACAAGTGGCGGACCTGCCAATTCTGGTGTTCAATAGCAAATGCCAATTGAGCTCTATGGTGGCAGGCAGTGAGCACAGGGCCTACTAGAGGATGTTGGGCCCTCGGCCACCCTCATGAAGTCTGTTTCTGATTGGTCAGAGACATTCACACCAGTGGCCTGCTGGAGGTCATTTTGTAGGGCTCTGGCAATGCTCATCCTGTTCCTCTTTGCACAAAGCAGCAGATACTGGTCCTGATGGGTTTTAGAACCTTCTACGGCCCCTGTTCAGCTCTCCTAGAGTAATTGCCTGTCTCCTGGAATCTCCTCTATGCTTGAGACTGTGCTGGGAGACACAGCAATTCTTCTGGCAATGGCACGTACTGAAGTGCCATCCTGGAGGAGTTTGACTGCCTGTGCAACCTCTGTAGGGTCCAGGTATCGCCTCATGCTACCAGTAGTGACACTGACCCTAGCCAAATGCAAACCTAGTGAAAAACAGACAGAAAAGATGAGTAGGGAAAAAAATGTCAGTGGCCTCCACCTGTAAAATCGCTCCTGTTTTGGGGGTCGTCTCATTGCTGCCCATCTAGTGCACCTGTTGTTAATTTCATTAACACCAAAGCAGCTGAAACTGACTAACAAACTCCTCTGCTACTTAACTGACCAGATCAATATCCCAGGCGTTTAACTGACTTGATGCTATACTCTGATTAAAAAGTGTTTCTTTAATTTTTTGAGCAGTATATATAATATATATTATATATATATATATATTTATATATATATATATATTATTTGTATTTATTTATTTCATTTGAGGGACATTTGATCGGAAGTAGAACACAGCACACGTGTTTTATATGTTTAAGGCACTATTTATGTATATGTATGCACTTTAGCCCAGGTTTACACTGGTGCTACTTGTCATGTAATTTGACAGTTACAAATCACATGACAAGTCATACCCTATTTGTGCCTATGGAACCATTCAAATCAGTGTGACTGTGACTTTGTGGTGCCACACCAATTTGAAAAAAAGGTTCCTGCACTATTTTTTGGGATTTCCGGTGCTTCTTGCATAGACATCTGTGCATGAAGTCACACAGATGTCAGGCAAGTTACACCTGAAATCGCATTGACCTGCGACTTTGAAATTTGTGCTACTTCAAGTGATTTCAGAGTCGCATTCAGTGTGAACCAGGGCCTATTGTTGATTTGTTTCTATGGTGTTGATATTTAGGACTTTGGTTATATTTTTGTAGTTTGAAATTCATCATATGTAAATTTTTTTCTTAAGGAGCAGCACACTACTACACTTTTATTATATAACACAAAACATCTGTTTCCTTTGCTGTTTAGAGGGTTCCTGCTGCACTTGTCTTGGGCTCACCTCCCTTTTCTCAGAATATGGGTTCTCTGGCACAGCTCATCTTGTTCTTCTAAGTGCAGTGACAGAATGAGCAGCAGCAGAGGTCACAATAGGGCAGTACACGTGCTTCTGCTTGCCCTGCTCATTACAATCTGACAACTGCTATACCTCTAGCAGTGATGGTAACTTAATAGATTTGTGACATGATCAAGGTGGAGCTATCCGAGAGGAGATGGAGCCCATGGGGAAACTGGCAGGTTCTAAAGGGGGTCAAGAGGAGCCATGAGGGACTGAAAGAGACAAATGTGCAGCAAGAGTCTGAAAAGAGAAGAAGCAGATCAGGGATGCAGGAAAGGAAAAGGCTGTAGGATTAATCTGATTTGAAAACTGCATAACCCGCTTCACATGGTATCAGTCTGACCATCTCACTCCACCCCCTCACATCTCATCTCTCTACAGCCACCAGCACCCCGCTGCACTCCACAGCCACATAATACAACCCCCTCATTTACAGTTTGTTCCTCCCTGGCCAGCCCTATTTTCATCATTGCATTGCAGGCAGTCTCTTACTAATATTCTAAGGGCACATATGTGTTCCCTAAACAGCATGTCACTCACAGTGAATCTAAAAAATATTTTTGGAATCAAGGCTGCTCATATCCATTTGAGGTCTTTTATTCAGATTTGTCTCTTCAGTATAGGTTCCATCCAAAATGCCTGGCTACTCTGCTCTAATTAATGTCCTTTTCTTTTAGAGAGATTGTAACACTGGTTTCCCAACTTATGCTCATCTTTGTTCCATTTCACCTGTGTGATGCTATAGCTGTAAGTACTATAATATCTATTTTATATATATCTCAAATGTATGTAATGTAGTCCATTATTGACTCTAATGATTCACAATTGGTGTTTACTTCTAGGGCACCTGTGCTGGCATACTTCGAGGAACTGGAAAGCAAAAGATTGGTGCTATTACAAATGCTGTTGGGTATTACCTTGTTGGTTTACCCATAGGAATAGCACTGATGTTTGCAGCAAAATTTGGAGTAATAGGTATGAACAATAGACATGAAAGTACACAGTGATTAAAGCTAATTTCTGGGATAAGCAAATATTATCTAAATATATATAAAAGGCTTGTGTATCCTTTCTTGAATCTTGGTGTACTTTGTGTATTTCTTCCAGACTTGTATAGTTAACCTGCTTGAAACTTTGCCACTGTGTTTCTATATTAAAGACCAGTCCCTGTTGCTCTTTTTTGTGCAGAGGACTGGTCTTGTATCTGCCCACCTCTTGTAGTTCTCTGCAGGCAAACTGTATGTGCAGCACAGTGATGATGTCTCTGCAACTTGTGTATGGTAATATATGATGTTTGGTACATACAAAGTGCATACAATGTGAGTTTATATCCTCTGTGGCTAAGGAATATATTTAAATGAGAATTTTTGGGGCCAGGGTTCAGCTTTAACAGCAAAAACCAGAGCAAGTACAGGCTGGGGCTGTATAATCTGATCACACAGTGTAAAACTTGACATGTAAATGTTTTCTGACAGCTGACTAGTAGCACTTATGCAGGAAATAGATGGGTCAAAAATCGGCCAATTTTTCAGCCGAAAATAAAATCGGGCGATTTTTGGATCTTTAGTGGGTTAATAGGTCGGGCCGTTTTTCGGTATTTTGGCAGATTTTTTTTATCGGTAAAGTTTGAAAAAAATCAGCCGATTTTGCCGATCGGCCGATTGCCGCGGCAATGATGGGCAAATTGGCCGATCTTTTTACCGATAAAAAAATCTGCGCATGAGCAGTGACCTGCAAGTGGAAGACAAAAAGAAGAAAGAAGAGGAAGAAGAAGAGGATGAAGAAGAAGAATTCCAGTCTGGCAAAAAAGTGTCCCTGCAGAGAGCTCCGCTATTTCTTTGACAGTTCTTTGACATTTATAACGGCTGCAACAATGTATCTATTTGTTTCCGAATAAAAAACATCTGTATCCGAAATAGATACAATGTTGCAGCCGCTATAAATGTCAAAGAACTGTCAAAGAAATAGCGGAGCTCTCTGCAGACACACTTTTTGCCGGCTGTAGACGGGATGAAAATCGACCGTTTTTTTTTTTTTTTTTCCTGGTAACGTCGGCCAATTGAACGACCGATTTTTCATTTTTTTAAAGACAAATCGGCCAGTTTTCTCTCCATCTGTGGCCTGCATTATTCTGTAAAGAACAGAAACTTGTTAAAGAGCCAACTCTCAGTCTTCATCTTCATCTGGACCTTAAGATGTTTGACAACACCTATGTTATTGACCTACATTCACCATTTGTGACATGGTTGTGATGTATTTGTTTCACTGTGCAGTTCTTTAAGGATGGAAAATGCTGTATTCCAAATAAAGAATTTGAAAAAAAAAAAAGCCATGAGCAGATTGGCCATATCCATTTAAGCATTTGAAGACTTAATTTTCAGTTAAATAACACACTTTACAGTTTCAAAAATTTCAGTTAATACTATTTTTTTTCTTTGTGTAGGTCTGTGGATTGGACTAATCTTTCCTGTGTTTATGCAAGCTTCCTTTTTTGTGGTCTACGTTCTGCGTATGGACTGGAATAAAGCATGTCAGGAGGTATGTAGGTGTTCTTGTATCCTAATAGCTAATATAAGGACCCCCTTCTCTGCCAAATCAGCCCTGACCTGTTGAGGCATGGATGCAACTGGACCTCCAAAAGGTATGCTGTTGTATCTAACACCAAGCTGTCAGTAGCAGGTCCTTTACGTTCTGTAAGTTGTGATGTGGGGCCTCCATAGATCTGACTTGTTTCCCATGCTTAACTGAGATCTGGAGAGTTTGGAGGCCAAGTCAACACTTAGCACTTGTTATTGTTTTCCTCAAAGCATTCTTGAACCATTTTTGTAGTGTAGCAAGGTGCAATATCCTGCTGAAAGAGACCACTGCCACCAGGGATTACCGTTTCCATGAAGGGGTGTACTTGGTCAGCAACAATGTTTAAGTTTATGTGTCAAATTGCATCCATGTAATGGCAGGACTCAAGGTTTCCCAGCAGAACATTGCCCAAAGCATCACACTGCCTCCACCGGCTTGCCTTCTTCTCGCACTGCATCCTTGTGCCATCTCTTCCCGAGGTAAGCAGTGCACCAGGCCATCCACATGATGTAAAATAAAATGTCATCAGACCAGACCTCTTTATTTTATTGCTCTGTGGTCCAGTTCTGATGCTCACATGCTCATGGTAGGCACTTTTGTTGGTGGACATGTATCAGCTTGGGCATCCTGACCAGTCTGTGGCTACGTAGCCCCATACACAACAAAATGTGATGGTCATTTTATGCTGCCTACACATCCTCTTCAGGGATAACCTGTTTACTTTCTGCCAAATATATACCACTCACTTTCAAATGCCTTTGTAATAAGATATCAATGTTATTCATTTAACCTGTTAGTGGTCCTAAAGTTATGTCTAATTTTGTATGTATTGTGCAAATGTCACAGCAGGTGTCAAGAAATGCTGTAAAGTAAGAATGCTTTCATATATACACTTATCGACCACTTTATTAGGTACACCTTCCTAGTTCTGGGTTGGACACCCTTTTGCCTTCAGAACTGCCTTAATTCTTTGTGGCATAGATTCAATAAGGCATTGGAAACATTCCTCAGAGATTTTGGTCCATATTGACATGATAGCATCACACAGTTGCTGCAGATTTGTCGGTTGCACATCTATGAACTATTGATACAAGGCAGGATGGATCCCTGCTTTCGTGTTGTTTCAGAGAAATTCTGACCCTACCATCTGAATGTTTCAGATGAAATCGAGACTCATCAGACCAGGCAATGTTTTTTCAATCTTCTGTTATCCAATTTTGGTGACCCTGTGCGAATTGTAGCGTCTGTTTCCTGTTCTTAGTTGACAGGAGTGGCACCCGGTATGGTCTTCTGCTGCTGTAGCTCATCTTCTTCAAGGTTCGATGTTTTGTGCGTTCAGAGATCGTATTCTGCATACCTTGGTTGTAACGAGTCAGTATTTGAGTTACTGATGACTTTCGGTCCAGCTCATCTGGCACCAACAACGAATACATATTCAAAGTCACTTAAATCCCCTTTCTTCCCCATTCTGATGCTCAGATTGAATTTCAGCAATTCGTCTTCACCAAGTCTAGATGCCTAAATGCATTGAGTTGCTGCTATGTGATTGGCTGATTAGCAATTTGTGCTACCAAGCAATTGAACAGGTGTACCTAATAAAGTGGCTGGTGAGTGTATATGTATGTTTAAACACAGTCATTAACGGAAACAAACAACTGTGTATGAGGCATAAAACTGGGTGAGGAACAGCCAAATTCTACTACTAAGGTGAGATTGTGGAAGACAGTTTAATGTCACAAGTCATACCCCATGGTAAGACTGAGCACAGCAACAAGACATAGAGTAGTTACACTGCATCAGCAATGTCTTTCCCATGCAAAGATTTCAAATCAGACTGGGGTTTCAAGATGTTCTATTCAAGCTCTTTTGAAGAAGCGCAAAGAAACAGGCATTGTTGGGGACTGTAGACACAGTGTTTGGACAAGGAAAGACACATCAATAGATGAAAGACACATCATGTTTACTTCCCTTTGACATCCGAAGGTGTCCAGCAGTGCTATTAGCACAGAACTGACAGAAACCAGTGGGACCCAAATACACCCATCTACTGTCTGGAGAAGTCTGGCTAGACGTGGCCTTCATGGAAGAATTGCAGCTAAAAAGCCACACCTCCACTGTGGAAACAAAGCTAAGTGACTCAACTATGCACAAAAACACAGGAACTAAGTTGCAAAAAATGGGAGCAGGTGCTCTGGACCGATGAGTCAAAATATGAAATATTTGGCTGTGCCAGGAGTCAGTTTGTTTGCTGAAGGGCTGGAGAGTGGTACAATATTGAATGTCTGCAGGCAACAGTACAGCATGTTGGAAATTCCTTGCAAGTTTGGGGCTGCATTTCTGCAAGTGAATTTGGAGATTCAGTCAGGATCAATGATGTCTTCAATGCTGAGAAATACAGGAAGATACTTATCCATCATGCCATACCATTAGGGAGGCGTGTGATTGGTCCTATATTTGTTCTGCAGCAGGACAATGATCCCAAACACACAGCCAATGTCATTAAGAACTATCTTCAGCATAAAGAAGAACAAGAAGTCCTGGAAGTGATGGTTTGACTCACACAGAGCCCTGATCTCAACATCATTGAGTCTGTCTGGGATTACATGAAGAAACAGAAGGCTCTGAGGCAGCCTATATCCACACAGAAGATCCATGGTTAGATCTCCAAGATATTTGGGACAACCTACCTGCCAAGTTCCTTCAAAAACTAGAAGAATTGAAGAATTGATGCTGTTTTAAAGGCAGAAGGTGGTCACACTAAATATTGATTTAATTTGGATTTCTCCTCTGTTCGTTTACTTTCCTTTTAGTTAATTGACAAAAAATTATTTACTAAACACTTCTATTTCTGTAAGTATTCTTAATTGAAAGCATTTTTTCACACCTGCCTAAAAATGTTGCACAGTAGTGTACATAAAAAATGGAGTGATTTTCAGTAAGATTTGGGATAACAGCAAGCACACAGGGTACGTCTCAAGTCCAGTTTATTGAACATTTGACCAGGAGTGTCAAACTCAGATTCATTGGGGGCTGCATCAGCAGTATAGTTGCCCTCAAAGGGCTGTTGTATCTGTAAGATTATGTATCTACTCTTTATCAAAGTGCAGGGTTTTTTGTGTTCACTATGTATAGAGTGCTGGGTTAAGGGGTGTGCCACGTACAGAGTGCAAAGTTCAGGGGCGGGCTACATACAAAGTGCAGGGTTCAGGGGTACACTACGTGCAGAGTGCTGGGTTCAGAGATTCGCTATGCGCAGAGTGCAGGGTTTAGGGGTGCACTATGTACAGAGTGTAGGGTTTAGGGGTATACTATGTAAAGAGTGCAGAGTTTAGGAGTGCTTTATGTACAGAGTGCAATATTTTGTTTCCAACCCTACTCCTGGGTTCTGACCTTTGCACCCACCACTTTCCCTCCTCCCCCCCCCCCCCCCCCCCCCCCCCCCTACCCCCCCCCCCCCCCCCCCCCCCCCCCCCCCCCCCCCCCCCCCCCCCCCCCCCCCCCCACACCTCTGCTCAAATCTGCCGCCACACCTCCACAGCCACTTCTCCATCCACCCATTCTCCCAAAAGCTTCCTCTCCTCTCTACTAGGCAGCTCCCTGCCTGTGTATTGGGCTGTAGTAGCTGTGTAGGTGGATCTGAAGGCCCCAGTACAAGTGAACTCACATCTATCTTCTTGCAGGGAGATTCAGCTGTCTTCAGATCTGTCCCCTCTGTGCCCTGCTGTGAGTGTGTGACGCTGTGTGTGCCTGCAGGGATCCAGGAGACACTGAGAGCATAGCTGTCACTGTAAACACAGAAGGTTCCTGTGTTCACAAGTGACAGCAGGAAGAGCAGGCGAGAGCCAAAGGTGGGGTGGTGGCCGAGGGCTGCTGCATGGGCCACATGGCAAGATTTGGCCCACAAGTCTTGTGTTTGCCATCTGTGTCATAGACTATTCTTCAATACTAAAAAGTCTGTCTCCAGCAAAGTATAAATATAACTGTTACTACTTTCAGAGTGCTTTTAGGACAAGGAAATATATAAAGTGCTTTTAGGACAAGGCTCCCCTGTCAAGTAGAACAATGCTGCCAAAGCTGCCCTAGCCTGTGCCCCCACCCATAGGGTATCCATGTGATCCACTTTTCCATCAGAATTTATTTGCACCCCTGACTCCCTACAGGCTCAACCCACCTGTCCTTAATTGGATCCCTGTTCTCCCAGACACCTTTTCCTTGCTCTCTCAGCACTGTTCACCACATCTGCACAGTGACATTTGGTGCTCCCACCACAGTATTTACGTACGTTGAAAAAGAGTCAAAATTTACTGAACCCAAAAACTAATGTTTCTGAGGGTGGTCAAATATAAAGAGCTACTATAGTTGCTAGTATCGTTTTCTTTAACTACCATTTTGGCACTTGAACTCGGTGTCTGCTGTAAGTCTGCACAGGGACCAGCTGGAATTATCAGCACCTAGGCTTCCAATCTTACTACAAAGCACTCCAAAGCAGCACTCTGTAGCAAAGAGCATGTATATGTATAGTTCTGCGCTGCACTTATTTACTACAATAAAAAGCTGTGAATGGACCCTCAGAATTCCCTTTGAACTGCTTCTGACTTATTTTTGATCTCCCTTTATACTATTTTAAGCTTCTTTTTCACTCCCATTGACTTGTATATGGAGTAAAGCATCAGACACAATCTCCTGTGTAGTCTTTGTGTGTAAGGAGAATCAACAGAGTTCTGTAGATAGTGGATTACCAATATTCTGTTATATTGGATCTTGATAACATGTTAATAAATCTGTGTGTCTTTTAGATTGGAGATGTACTAGCCAGGGTTCAATAAAATTACCAGTTTTTACCATGCCCCACAATCATCTTTGCCCACCTGCCACACTTAGGGGGGGGGGCACCCATTAATCTTTGGTTGCGCGGATTACATGGAGCTACGTTTCCTTTCATGTTTCCTACTAACTAATGTAAAGTAGCACAAGTTCGACCAGTAGTTTGACATGGCCCTTACTGTTGCCTTAATATGTTCTCTTAGAATAAGGCTGGCTATACATTATATACTCTTCTTGCACAATTTTCCTTTAGATTTACCAAAAACCATATAATATGAGTTTAAACCTAAACAACACTTTCAGTTGTATCCAATTAGGCAGGCCCTTGCACTACATAGTTGAAGGTAAATCTAAAGGAAATTGTACAGAAAATTGTACGCAAATTGTTCAATTGTGCAAAATGTATGGCCAGCCTAAGTAGGAAATGAAAATCTATCTGTCTTTTAGGCTCAGATTCGAGCAGGAGTGAAATCAAAGAATGAAGATCTTGCATCCAGCACCCCAGCAGCAGATTGTTCTGGCACCAAGTCTGATGAAGTTACAAATGGCAAGTGTACAAATATACTGTATAGAATTGTGCTTTTGAAACAGTTGATCTTATTTTGCTTTTAAGTTAAATCGGTAATGCCATGATTTATCTGAAAGAACCTGTGCTAGCCAATTTGGTTTGCTCTGAGTTACGATTTATGGAAACCAACTGTACAAATATTGACAATTTATGGAGAGGTTATTAGATATTACAATGGTATTTTCTGACTTTTTTCATGCAGGTGGCGTGCAGTCTTACAATACTGGCTATTCTGTTGTGGATCAGGATGTTCAAGGTGCTGTTATTATCATCCCAGATGGTGGGTTTAGTTTTACAGAGCATATGGTGTTACAAGAAGATTCATCCCTAGAAGCTGTGAACATAGTGGGTGAAATTCTCTCCACCAAGCAGCTAATACTGCGAAGGGGACTTGTAGTGTTTTTAGTAGTGACAGTGCTTCTAATAGGAGTCACAGTTCGACTTTTGACTGGCAATGGATAGAGTTAATGAGAATATTACCTCTACATGAATCCTATACATGGGCTCAACAGAGCAGAACCTATGTTGAACTGTCTTAAAGAGTGAAACCATTGTGATTACCAAAGGATAACTTGTATAAAAATGATTCTCAGGTTTCAAGCCCTTCCATCTTTCCATAATGAGATGGGAACAGATATCACGGACAATACTGGATCTATTTAAAAAAAAAAAATACCTCATACAGTATATCTTTTATTAGCTAGCACTGCTGAAACTTTTTGTCTGGAATTTATCTAACTGTAATTCGTCATCACTGTAATTTCACAAGAGCTGCAGTCAGATTTGCAGCTTAAAGTGCCAGAATGACTGTATCAAAATTATATACAGCAGATGATTTACTAAAGTTAATTATTTAAACATAGGTTGACATCACTTAGTAAATTGCTCCTTGCAGTGTGATCCTCTAGATCAGTAGTCTTCAATCTTTCCCGGGGCCGGATTTGACCCTTTGATTGTCGTTGTCCTGCCCGGCCCTTGAGGAATTATTCCTGTCACTGACACCAACAATGGGGCATAGTTCCTGTCACTGACACCAACAATGCGGCACTGTTCCTTCCACTGACACCAACGATGGGTTGTGATTCTGGTCCCACAGGGTGGGTGCGTCACTTCCATGTATTCTTTGTAACAAGTAAGGCCTTGTTTGCACCTGTGCAATTTTTGTGTATTTTGCAGTGCATAAAAATACAGGTGTCATGAAAATACAATGTCTCCAATGAAGCCCCTCACATCCGCGCGCGAAAAAAAAAAAAAATTGTTGCAAAAATTGAGGCATTTCCCTGCATTTGCACATGAAACAATGCATGGAAAAACCACTAAAAATGTGCATTAAAGAATAGAAAACACAAGGAAAAATGCATGACAGTGGAAGTGGAGTGATATAAACCCAGCAAGTGCCTTTGAGTCAAGATCTGAAGTGGAGTTGCACATGAACTTCTAATAACTAGAACATGAACTTGTCTGATGAGTCAGTAATCACTGGTATTGTGATACCAGTGGTAGAAAATGTCACATGGTCACCACTAAACTTCATTTTATTTTTTTTTTCTGAGAAGTTTTGTTAACCTTTAATGACTGAAACCAGCATTTTAATTAAAATTGATCTTATGTTGTTCTGTATGAACGATAGCATGTGTGCTCTTTCCATATCTGATTGTCCCTAAAGGTAGAAGAATGACCTCAAGTTAATATTAATGTGTCTGTCATAGTAGAGACAAAAGTTTGTGGTTGCCTTGAATTTAAACTTGTATATACTGTTGTTAATAAGGAGAAAATGATGCTTCATTAACATTTTGCTTTGCAGTTTTCAATTCCATGTTTGATGGCGTATTCTATCAAGAACTTTGGAATGTAGGAGAACAAGGACAGAGCACAAAAACTTTAAGAGACAAAATCCATTTCTGCATATTGAAATATCCCAAATCTGGGACCCCAAATATACGTGTTCAGTTATGTGCCTTTACAGGCTCACCTTCCCAACAGTGCCACTACTGCAGACAGGTGTGAATTTATAGCGGGGTTGGCAACCTGTCGATCGCAATCTACTCATAGACCACGGGCAGGTGATGGGTAGATCGCAGCCACATCCCTGCTTTGCTGACCCATGCCACTTAAGTTTCGCTTCTTCCTTCCAGCCTCCACAGCTCTCATCCTTACAGCAGAGCGTAGAGTGGGAGGCAGCACAGTTCTGGATGAAGGGCAGGAGAAGAAGCTGGCCAAGTTAATGTTTCAAGTTAACCAGCAGGTGATTGGTTGCTGGGACACAGGGTGGTCCTAGAAACCAATCACCAGCTTGTTAATATGAAAAGCTAACCCCGACAGCTCCCACCCTCCATATGTAACTGTGATCCGCTCTCCGTTCTGCTGTACACCTGTGTAGGTAGGAGACTGTTGTGTGTGTGTGTATGTGTGTGGGGGGGATGTGAAAAAGGCAGAGGACACTGCTTTGGGGGGGGGGGGGGGGGGGGTAGAGGACATTACTATGAGGGGTACAGAGAACACTACTGCAGGGAGGTGGGGTTAGAGGGACAGAGTTCATTATTGTGTGGGGAGCAGAGGGTACCACTGTGGGATGGGGTGGCAGAGATCACTACTGTGGGGAAGAGGAGGGGCAGAGGACAATACTGTGGGGGGTGATGTTAAAGGGGGGCAGAGGTCACTACTGGGGGGTGGGGGGGTTGATGTGAAAAGGGGCAGGCGTGAGACTATGCTATACGTGGCGATAACGTGATACACATTGCTGGGAGCTCTCTGGCATAAGCTTGGACTAGCTCCTGCTCAGTCTCCATGCACACAGGGTGTTTTGATAACGCTGGTAACATTAGCTGTGTAAAGTCCCATTAAAACCGTGAGGTTTTCATCTTTTCTCAGTGTTTTTGCATTAGTGTTTAGCTGCGTTTTTCCGCATTTGCGGTTTATTGGGGGGTCAAAAAAAGTCTAAAAACACCAGTTTGCAGCCTTTTACCACATTTTTCAGCGTTTTACAGTGTTAGAGTGCTTCTACAGCTAAAAAAACTCCTCTAGAAACTCACTAGTCCTGTTTTTTTTTTTCCAGCCAAAAAATGTCCCAGCCAAAAAACGTTGATTACGGTCTATGTGTGCATGGACACATAGGATAACATGCGGGGGGGTTTACTGGCTGTAGAAAAAAACATCAAAAGCCAAAAACAGCAGCTGTAAAATCGTAAAGTGTGCATGAGGACTCAAACAATACTGGGTCTTGGGTTTGCTAAGTTCCTTTTGGCCCACTCCCCTTTTGACTAGACTACTAACATTGTCAACACTACTTGCAGTCACACAGCAAAGCAAAGAGTTGAAGCTGCAGAGGAAAAAAAGCAACAGGAGACGTAGCCAGTATGTTGTCTGGATATAAGGTCGTTGTTGATGCACATACCAAGACATTTCTTGGTATACAAATTCGCCCAGGCTTTATGCTATCATTTTGATAGATTGTTTGAAAAAATATTTTTCTGAACATAGAGAGCCCTGCTCTTAGATTTTAAAGTTTTTCTACCGGGGCTATTTATTGCTTTTTATGTGTGATTAATAAATCTTGATGCTTAATTATTAACTGATTAACCGTCTAATATATGATATAGCAGAATCCTTTAGGCTGTTTGAAATTTTGCTTACACATGGCTTTGACTTTCTACACTATGGAAATATTTTAGGTTAAAAAGAATTTGTACTTTGAGGTATAGTCATACACTAAATTATAGATTTAAATAGCTCCTGATTATGTATACACATTGATCACACAAATATTCAGTGTGACAATGCTTCCTACAACAACCATTTTTCTTGTTTTACTTTCCATTTCTGTCAACATTTGTCTAATGGTTCACAAAAATATCTCTATTCTTAGCTACAGTTCCTTAAAACTACCCTCTACCCTTAAAACTACCCTTAAAAGTTCAGTTTTCGTTTTGAGGTAGTGATCGCATCTGGGGGGCGGTGCCTTGCATCTTTACATTTCTATGCACGGCAGCTCATTGGCCGTGCACAGAAAGACAGGATCACTCAGATGGTTGTTGGCAATGTGGAGAAATGCAAACATAATCGATTTTTCCACACCGCTCTGCAGTGTGGAAATGTGATTACCATTGTTTTCTGTGTGCCCTTGTGGAGAGCTGTGTTATTTTGTTGAAGACAGTTTGAACCTGCCCTAAGTGTAGCTTAAATTAAAAACAGAACAATCAGCACAAGGCACATAACTTTCAGTCAGTGGCATGTGCCCCTTGTGCTGAAGCCTTTTTTCAGTTAGTTAATATCCTTCTCTGTCTCTGTCATCCAGCCCCCTTATCTTCTGGTGCAGTGGGGGTTAATACAACCAAAGGCCTGTTACAGGCTCTCATTAAGAAAGCCCGACTATGCCCCACTCTATCTTCCTAGCTGCCCTCTTCTTAAGGCTAGGTTCACATCTATGCAGGTTGCGTTTGATACGTTTTTCCATGTTGCATTTTTGAACTCATGTATTTGATGTGTTTTAGATACTTTATGCATTTTGTGTTTTTTATTATTTTTTTTTGCTAGTAGGAAAGTATGACATGTAGTGTGACTTTGATGTGACTTTACACTATACAATAATACATACAGAATTGTCATACTTTGCTGTTAGAAAAAAAAAAAAAGCATAAAAATCGCAACACTTATATTTTTGGTACTGGTCCATTGAAGTCCATTACATGTAAAACGCAATCTGCGGCAGGAAAACATTTCCCTTTCCAAAAAATATGTCTCAAAATGCACAGATGTGAACTATATCTATAGGAAACCATGTTAAATTGACTGTACTGCGTTTCAGCAAACTGGAAAATGCACTGAAATCTGCAGGAGTGTGAACCTGGGGTAAAAGCTGCACTACAGCTTAATTGAAATAAATTATCTATGAATGGAGGATGGGCGAAACTATCAGTTATCTGCCAGTTCACTATTCTTAGATCATGTTTCATTAATAGAAACTGTAGTTTGGCAGGGATGACTAAAGGAACAAGACTGGTCTCCCTGGTTGGAATTGCAATCTTCCATACCCATCAAATGATACCCCCTTTTCTGTGACACAGTACTTAATCTTTGAGGTAAAATACTGCCATGTACGAGGGATGATGTGACAGTGACGAGTGAGACAGGAAACTTTTTACCATATTACGTTTATTGATCACAATTAAAGCAATACAGTGAACTCTGGACTTTCTTTTACAAATGTCATTCAAGGTAATTTTAAGTGTGTAAACATTAACATACAACCTCCTAGCTGTAATCATGACCTATCACTGAACTTTAACACTGCCTAATAATGAGTGGTTACTTGCTGTGTGTATTCTGCTTTATGCCTTAAAAAATATTTTCTCCTTAAAAAAATATATGTACTTTTGAGAATGAGGTGCATCATTTGGCAGCCAATTCATTAACATATCTTGTTACTAATTACATCCCGATTGGAACCTCCATTCTTCTCTATG